GGCTATCTCTATTGAAACCAATTAAATGAACTTAGTGAAATAATCAAGAGTCTCTCTGGTTGCTATCCTCTTCCTTGGACTTAGTAAAGGCCTTTTCTAAGCTAAAATTGTCAGCTTTGTCTATGATACACTGAGTTAAATTGTTAAATTATTAAGTTCAAAAAAAGGAAGTCAAATAAAAATATATGTAATATCTTTGATTCAACTTATCTTTCTAAGATCCAGGTTATAGGTATTTTCAGCCTGCTTAGTCTCTTTATCTACTTAGTATAGGTTTTTAAAAGGAAAATTAAACATGCATTGAAAAAATACATATCTTCAAAAATATATATGATGTTTTTCTAATCCACCTTCTTTTTGGGAATAAAACAAGTGTTCAAAAGTATTATTATTATCACGAGTTCATTAAACCCTGAAAAAATACACTGGAAACAAGTGGGAGGTAAGAAAGGAAGAAAGAGGCCATTAAATTCACTGAGGTGCTTTATTTTATTTATTTATTTATTTATTTATTTATTTATTGTATTTAGGACAGGGTGTATAGGATGTATAGGGTCTCATTGCATACATCAGACTCATAGCTTTTACAGCCTCCCAAGTGCTGGAATTACAGCCACCGTGTCCAGTCTAAATGACCACCTCTGCGCACCCTGGGGATGGGGCTGGCACGACAGGCCAGGTGATCGAACTCTCGGCCCCTGCATCTGCCTAAGCAGGCGCTTTAATCTGCTGAGCCATTTGGCTGGCCCCAAAAGTACTTCATGAAGGAAGTTTAACTCTATTCTTAGGGCATGGGATCCATCAAAAAGTTAGAGAGGTGATATGAGAGAGTTGAATGTGACTTGTGAAAGCCACATCCCCTCTCTGAATTAGTTTCTCCATCCTAAAGGGGAAAAATTCTATGTTGGCTTCCTGGGGCTGCCATAGAAACATTGACTGGGTGGCTTCCAACAAATAGATGAATTTGCTTGCAGTTCTACAAACTGTCTAAAATTGAGTTGTCAGTAAACTTTTCAAAGGCATTATGTAAACGTTGATTCTTCCTAGATTCTACAGCATGTTGACAACCTTCAACATTCCTATATTGCAGCTACATTATTCCAGTTTCTACCCTCATCTTTACAATGGCTGACTTGTTCCTGTGTTTTTCTCTCCAAATCTCTCTTTATCAGGATACAAATTATTGGATTTCAGGCCACCCAACCAGTATGACATCAACCTACTTTGATTGTTTGATTATCTCTTCAGAGATCTAATCTCCAAATAATATCACATCCACAGGTTTCCATGGAAAAAGACTTCAGTGCATATTTTAAGGGATAGAACTCAATATACACTAAGGGCCAACCTTGAAAAAATTATGTTGCGGAAAACCTTATATAGCTATCCCATTAGTTAAGTAGTAATATAATTTCCCTTTCAGGTAAGCATAGCTCAGACTTATGTCCACACTAAAGCTTCACTGGCTGAGAATGAATCGCATCTTAGAAGTATCTTTCCATTCTCTTGCCAAGGAAAGAAAAGTCCTTTGACATTGCAGTTAAATTAGGTCATGGTACCAGTTAACATTTCAGTTCTTAGTTGCCTGAATGATTGTAAACTAAAATAATGGGAGGAGAGAGAGAGAGAGAGAGAGAGAGAGAGAGAGAGAGAGAGAGAGACAGAGACAGAGACAGAGACAGAGAGACAGACAGAGAGACAGACACAAACAGACACAGACAGACAGAGACACAGAGAAACAGACAGAGATAGAGACAGATACAGAGAGACAGAGTCAGAAAGACAAAGACAGAGACAGAGGGAGATAGAGACAGAAAGAGAGAATTAATGCAAATTAATACTACTTACTCATTTATGAAGAGATAAGTACCTGGTGAAAGTTTGGAGCCAGATTTCTCTCAGTGATACTCAAGATGGAATGCTTCCCAGTGCAATTCTTTCAGGGACAAGAATTAATTTTAACATGAAAAATGAATGTTTTTAAATGTTACCCTTTGGGAAAGTGGATGATCCCTGGAGTCTTAACATCAGAGAAGAGCCACGCTTAGGTCATAGCCCACATTTAGTAGAAACAGTAAAGCTACCTCTGAGCCCACCAAAGGCAGAAAGACCACGCTACTTAAAATAAGCAAAGCAAAGCAGAGCAAAACAGAGCAGAGCAGAGCAGAGCAGAGCAGAGCAGAGCAAAGAGACATACTGTTGTGGACCTGTTGCCAGACCATGTACTGTGAAGCCAAAAAATGAAATCTATTTATTTTCCACTGAGACTCATTATGCTCTAGGGCAACAGAGAGGCTTGGCTTATCCTTCAGAGCCCTTCTGTTGCATACTTAATTTAGTTTGACTGTACTCTGTACTCTGTACAGCTTCCAGGGGAAGCACATTGGGTGAGGTTTCCACAAGCACCCATCCAACATGCAGCAAGATGACCTAAGGAGGACACATGTGTATTTCTGCCCCCTGGCCCCCAGCCCTTGACCCCAATTATTTGGGCTAATACTACCAGAGAAACAGGACCACTCACTTAGGAGAAAGATGAAATTTAAAGTTTTATTTTTTTGGCTCTTTTTCCTTTATTCTTCATACTTTAAATCTATTTTTCTCTTGGTAGAGATTTAAAAAGTTACTTTAAAATTTATATGCCTCAGAATAATTTTCCAAATCAGTGAAGAAATGAAGGTCAATGGGAATAGGATTTGTAAAGGTCAGCTTATTAGGAGATGTTCAAGCTTGATATAAATCTATCACTTGTGACGAATTTGCATTTCACTCATAACCACTGCAAGAATATGGCCAAGACATTTGTTCTTTCTACCAGGATTAACATAATTAAGATTTGGCTTTTAAAATTTTTTTAGCCCTTTCTTTTTTCTCCCTTAATTGTCAAGTGGCACAGTCTTTGCACCTACAGGAATTAACCTCAGTTAACATGAAAATTTGAGCTATTTTCTGTTATTAATTCTCTGTCTTAGCTGCCAGAGGGTATAAAGACTCAAGACATCCTTACTTTCAGTAGATTTGAGGTAACTTTAAAATTAGAAAGAAAATTATCTTTGAAGCCAGGCATGGTGGGGCACACCGATAACTCCAGCATGCCAGGGAGTCCAGGAAGAAGGGTGACAAGTGATAGACTACCCTGGGAAAGTGAAAAATGTGCAAAACCTTGTATCAAAATAAAACACACAGAAAAGGTGGTTGGGATGTGGCTCAGTTCAAAGGAGTGTCTTCAGTTTTCAGTATGAAGAGGGGAGGAGGAAGGAATAGAAAGAGAAAGAGAGAGAGAGAGAGAGAGAGAGAGAGAGAGAGAGAGAGCCTAATGTTCTGATACGAGAAAGATAAGCTTGAGTCATTTGTAGAACAAAAAAAATGGATGTTTCTTAAGACCATAATGTTAAGTGAAATAAATCAGACACACAAACTTAAATAACACCAGGTTTCTCCTATGTAAAACCCAAAATATAAATAAACTAAAAAGCAAAATGACAGATAATAGGAAACAGGAAGATAGATCTTTTACAAAAGGAAAGGAAATTGAGATAGAGGAAAAGAAATGGGATTAAAAGGAATTAAGGTGTATTATGTTCATGGGCCAATTCCAACCATAAATGGAATCTTCAAATATGTAGTAACACAAATGAAAATCAATGGAAGAAAGACCATTATCTTTGAAAAGGAGAAGAGCCTCACTGGGTACAATTCTTCCCAAGCAGGAAAGGAAACTGTGGTTAAGGAAAATTATGGAGAATGGAAATTGGTGCATCTTTCCATGTAACTGGAAGAAAGCAGGTAATAGAGAAATTTAGTTGATTTCATCTACATTTCATGACTTCCAGCCTGGGTGTTGTGAGGCTTTGGGATCCAATGTTACGGAAAGCATCACGTTTCTTCACACCTTTCATTTCAAGCTGGAATTTTAGAATGGGAAAGACTTGGCCATGCTAACAAATGGAAGGGAAAGTGGAGAGGGAAAGATAATGATTCAGGATGACCCCTGAACAGAACTCTTGAGCGTGCATAGGAACAAAATTTGTCCTTGTCTGGAAGAGGAAGAAGAAATTCTTTCTTGCACCTGGAGGGATGGAGGCAAAGATGACCAAAATATGTCTAAGTACAAGGGGCCTATGGTTATTAGAGACACCAAAGAGTCTGACAATGGGCCTGAAGGTCAGAGAATTCATGCTTCATGGGACTAGTATCATCTCAGAATTAAGCTGATTTCTTCCAATGGTTGTTGACTTACATATTGTTCTCAGACAGAAACTAGAAAGAATAACTCACTGAGAAATGCAAAGGGATTGAACAACCAAGTTATAAATGGAATAGCTATATCATTCACTGGACAACCTGCATAGATAAGAAAGAGTTTGACGTTTGAACAGCTGAAGAGACTTGTTGTTCCACTAACTCCACTTCCAGGACAGTTTTAAAGTTAGGTCTCTGTAGCAGTGTTTGATTCTGCCTCTTGCTATTGAGAGGAAGTACAGTCATCCCTCTCTGTCCATGCGTTCTTTATGTATGAGATATAATCAACCTCAAATAAAAAAAATTTGAAAAAATGTTTCTTACTGAACATGTACAGAATTTTTTTCTTTTTAGATTTTCTTGTTGTTATTCCTTAGATAATACAGTGTAACAACTATTTACATTTTATTAGATATCAACCATCTAGAGGTGGTTTAAAAATGATAGGTGGATGCACAGTGGTTACGTGCAGTACTATGCCATTTTATATAAAGGACTCCAGCATCTGCTAACTCTGGTATCAATAGGTGTCCTGGACCCAGTCTCCATAGATAGGCAGAGCTGACTTTTTTTCCTTTACCATTTGTGGACATCGGTTATTCCTCTGGCTGCCACTAGGAAAAAGAAATCACTGTTTGTCCTTTATACCCGCCCACTCAAGCTTATTCAGAACAAAGGGGAAAATGAAAAAGTCATAGATCAAGGAAGGTGTGGCACTTCCTGCCTGTGTCGCTCATCCTGATCTTTCTTCTCTGCAGATGGTCGGCTGCGACTATGAGATCGATTCCAATGCCACAGAGGACCGCTGCGGTGTGTGCCTGGGAGACGGCTCTGCCTGCCAGACTGTGAGGAAGATGTTTACACAAAAAGAAGGATCTGGTAATTAACAGATAAATCGCTGAAGTGGAAGAGAATTTAGAATATAGTGTCAGAAAAGTGATTGATTCCTAGATTTATTTTTTTTAAAAAACAGCTTATACCTTTCAAAGAGTTAAAAATTGAATAAATACCCACTAACAAAGGAATATGAGCTCCTTGGCAGCTTTACAAAAGGGATTAATTACTGAGCAGATACAGGAGTGATCACACTGACGTAGAGATCAGACTTGGCCTGGTGGCTGCTACCAGGAATAGTGATGAGGCTGTACTACCTGGGAGAGGGTCTTCTTTGAGAATGAGCATCACAAGGGAATGTTGGGGAAAATGTTATTGAAATAGACCAGGTACAAGGGGAAAGAAGATGCCAGAGTATGTGCCCAAGGGTTGTAGGCAGTAGACCCAAGACCTTGTTCTGTATGGGAGGGCAGGTGAGCCATAGAGGATTTGAAGGCAGAAGGGTTGAGGTATAAACCTAGGGCCAGTTTGGGAGAAGTACGGTAAGGTTACTTCAGCTCGCTGTCTTACTTTCAGTTTCTCCCTGCAAGTGTAATCTGCTCAGAAGCTCTTGAAGTCTCTCAATGCAGTTCTTCTACCTACCATCTCCCTTTTTACTCAAACTTTGCTATTATTTTTCCTATAAATAATCTTCTTAAGATTTCCTCTTTGCACGGCTTTCAACCATGCAAATTGGGTATGTTTTAAGCTTATGATTAAGCCATTCTAGGGAAGTGAAGAGTTTACTCTCATCCCAAATCAGGTACAACCCTGCACAGATTTGCCTTCAGTTAAAATAGCATCCATAACCACATGGAGTCATGCTTTGGGAGAAGAGCTAAGTTAAGCCCGATGAAGGTTAGGTGATTAGGACAACTCAGAGTACCTTGTTTGGGTTTCCCCAGATATACCCTGGGAAAAGAACTTAGATATAAGTATTTGGGGGACAAGAGGTCTTGGGAAATACTAGTATGGTGTTGGAGAAGTGAACAGGGTGCAAGAAGACAGTCAAGAAAGAATGTGTCATTACCTAGTGGCCATGTAAAGAGCACAAAACTCATGCAGCTAGGTCTTCCCACCTGAAAAGCTTAGAAAGGGGCTAGTACATCTATTCCCTCTAGTCATGAATGCAGGAAGCTTTGGGAGTAGGGCAGCTAATTCTCTGGATTCTGCAGAAATGCAGATATTGGGAATGGAGATCACAGGGTACACTAAGGTAGTAGGGCCTGGGAGAGAGGGGTGGTGTCTCTTACCCAGAGGTCACATCCAGGACAAGACAATATGCCCATTGTCAGGTACAGTGGGGTACAGTTTACCTGAGTCTTGGCAAAGCAATGTCTTTCTCCTCAATGTGCTTAAGGATGAAATTACTTACTAGGAGCCCAAGAGTATTAGGTATGTTCTTAAATGTGGTACAAGGCCTACTGCTCCCTAGTCAGCATATCAATAAATAATCTAAATTTGTTCAAATTCCGTCCTTGTTTATTCATCTTTGACTATTAAGGATAAAGTTTGAAATTCAGTTATCTTCCTGCTATTTATTATATTAGTGTGTATTAGTTGTACAAAACAATATTTTTTATTTTAGAATTATCATTAGGGGCTGGAGAGATAGCTCAGCAGTCTAAGTACCTGCCTGGCAAGCAAAAAGGCTCGGGTTTGATCCCTGGTACCACATGCCATGCTAGCCCTGGAACCACAGGTGCATCGTGCCAGCCACCAAAACTGGGCATGGTGGTACATGCCTATAATCCCAGCCCTGTGGAGGCTGAGACAGGAAGATCACTACAAGTCTGAACTGTGTAGCAAGGCCCTGTAACAAATAAATAAATAATTAAAAAATAATTATCATTAAACAATTGTATTTCCTGTCCTTGATTTCTAGCTTTATTGTAGATAAAAGATACCTGACTTATTTGTTAGAGATATAAATAATAATTGAGTATGTTTTAAGCTTATGATTAAGCATTTTAAGACAACTATGGGCTTTTGATCTTTATAAAATTATTTTGTAATTGTTTGTATTATTCAGGTGTGGTCTTATTTCCTTAAAAAGTCACACTCATAATCATATTTTTCTGCATTTAACCTCAGTTTCATTTATCTATAGGAATAAAATAGCGATTCCTCCCTTTGGCTTTGGATAGGCTGTACTTCTAACAGTATGGTAGCTACTTAGACAAAAATAATTTTCACCCTTAAATCTCTTCTACTTAACTTCCAAATACCTCAAATCACTCAATGCTAGCTCTGGGTTATTTTCTTCTCTGCCCTGTTCCCTTTGGCAGAGAAAAAGGGACCAGTCAGGGCTTGACCCTCCCTCCCACCCAACACCCACTTCGGGTTGCAGTACCACGTGCCGCCACTGAGCACCAGGCATGTCTCTATGCCCTCCTCTTTCTCCTTCTCCTCCTTCTATTGCTACTCTGAGGGCTTCTGGTGCTTCTTGGCACCCAGGAAATTCTGTCCAGACAGCGTTCTCAGAGCCCTCTGACCCTGCCACCCAAGCACACTGGAGAAGTCAGAGATTTTTTTTTTTTTTTTTTTTTTTTTACTGTTAGCCACAATATTTAGTAAGGAGATCTGTGCCCCTTGGACTTCAGAATGTTCACTGGACCCCACCTTTGCTTTGAAATTAATGAAGTTAGATTTAAAAAGAAACAAAAAGACACTGGATATCACTCCCCATGAAAATAAGACCAAGCAGTGATACACAATGTTATGTAATGCAGTTAGATTGCTTTGGAATAATTGATTAAAGTGGAATCCAAGGTAAAAGAATTTCCTCTTTTTTTGAAAACATTTCATGGACAATTCTTTGTGCTACCTCATGCTATCATATACTGGTGCCTTAATTCACCTTATACTTTATTCATTTTCCTTAATACAATTGTTATTTGAAAGTGGAATTTTCTTTCAGATTTCATTTCCATCCAGATTGAAGTTATCTTAGTCAATATTCATTAAGTAGTTATATAGATTAAAGTAAAAACATTGTTTTATTAAAAGTGAAACATTTTAAGAAATGTTTCTCTGAAGATTTCTCTGAAGATAAAAGAGACCAAGATAGTCGCTATTCTACAAGTTAAGGAAATATCTGAGTCAGATATCTATCTTCTTGATGTTCTGCTTATGATTCATTCTAGTTATAACTTTGTTACATGAACAGCTTTTTAAAAAATGTATTTGGTACAGGGTCTCACGACACAGGTCAAACTCATAGTGGTCCTCCTGTTTCCAGCCTCCCCAGTGCTGGGATTACAAGCGTGTACCACCACGCTCGGACTTGGTCACTGGCTCAGCTTTGGGGGCTGGCATGGCATGTGGTAGAAGAGACTAAACCCTGGTCCCTGCACTTGCCTAAGCAGGAGTTTAGTCTGCTGAGGTATCTCGCCAGCCCTTGCGAACCATTCTTTATGGTGTTGGTCACTTTCTGATTCTGGCCCAAAATCAAAACTTTATCATTCTCTGTTAATATATATCCTAAAAATGTTCTTTTCTTCTCACCTGTCTACACAGAGCCACATTTCCTGAGATAGGTGGCAGTGTGTTACTTCAGCAGTGCATGTTGTAACGCTGTCTTCCTGGCCAAGAGAACACTGCACTCGCCTTCATGTGCCTTGGGCTTACTGCGGGCCCTCATGGGGAATCTTTCCGGAACAAGTCTATTTTTGTACCTAGTTACATAAGGGGGAAGGCTATGATTCTTTGAACATGGCTTTGTTATTCCAGTGCTCATTCATCAAATCCTCAGGGTTTATACCTATGATATTGAAAGAAACCAGTAAGGAAGAAGTGAGAAGCTCTCTGGTGACCTCAAAATCAGTGGACTAGGAGAACAGGGGCAGTCTGGCTGTGTGGTACAGTAACCTCTGTAGCTAGGCAATGCTAGGAATGTGGGTTCATCTTTCAGAAGAATTACAAAATCCTTCAAACCTTGCATGACAAGACTGCTCCATTCCTTCTACCAGTGTTCTTCTTTTCCTATAAATGTTTTGGTTTGGCTCACATCTCTGTTTAATAGAATTTTTTTTTAAAAAAATTATAAGTGAGAAAGTCTGGACTTAAAAGCTAATGCTGTGGACAAACCTGACTTAGCCTCCTCCCCTTGCTTCTCTCTGGAGTCACAGCTACTCTTACTGACTTATTCTGTGGAAGTATGAAATATTACAAAATTAAAGTTTTTATGAGTGCTCTTAAAAAAGAGAAAATATGTTATGGAATTAAAATAGGCTTGGAGACAAAAGACTATTCTTGTCTGAATGACGGTTGGGTTTAGCGAAGTCACCTCTCAACTTTGGGGGCTTTCTGACCCTGAGGGAACTCTTCTGTCTTCCCTCTCGTGATGGCATGTGAGATGATCATGTAGTGGCTATCTAAGTGTTGGCATTGGGAAGAGTTTCCTGGACAAGTTTCTGTGTGTCCCCCTCAGTCTTCTTAGGATTCTCCAGCAGCTAAGTTTCTATCTCTCTCTGTAGAAATGAAATCTACTTGGTAGATTTAATACCTTGTACAAGATAAGAGCGTCTTACCCTTTAAATAATACCACACTTGGAGAATGTGAAGTTCATCTTGCGTAGACCCATATTAGCTTCCATTCTCACTTAGTTGGTGTCAAGAGAGATTACTATGGTTACCATGACCAAAAGTCTGAGTTAGAAGAACTTAGACCCAGATTAGAGTATTCTACATACAGATAGTAAGACCAGTCTTTTTCATTCATTAATTCACTTATACCTAAGCTATATTCACTGAGCACACTTAGTGTTCTTGACAAGATGGAGGAAATAACAAGAGAATGAATGGCTCTTCCCACTGCCTTCTCTGTGTTATGCCGTGAAAGTAACAGCTCCAAGACTTCTCTCTGACACTTAACGCATAGGCAAAAATTAAACAGGGAAACCACTTCAGTAGAAAGTTGATGCAGCATTGAGCTCTGCTTTTCCTTGGGCATTTTGAATTTACTGCTCAGAGCCTTGAGCTTTATTTTGATCTCTTGTGGCTCACTGTTTTGGGCCTGGAACATCAGCCCTTTGTAGTTCTCTCAGCTTTTGTTTGTTTCCAGGCCCTGGATGCTGTTATTCACCTGCCACCATTTAAATAGCAGCTAGCTCTTTCCTGACGTTGGTTAGAATCCTGGACTTCTCAAATCCACCACCCTGAATTGCTGTACTGGCCTCAGTAAGCTGCTCTAGACCTCATCATTGCCAGGCCCGGTGAAGACCAAAACTAACTTCTGATCTTGTTCGCACTGGTCTGCCTTGCCCTGAGGCCGGGAAGAAGGGACCACAGTCTCTGAGTTCCCGGAAGTCTGACACGGCTATTGCCTTGCCCAGCTTGGTGCCTGAGCCACTAGCTTCAACTCCTGCCTCCTTTGTTCAATCATAATCAAGATGTCCTCAGACTTCCTTTGAAAATATTTGTATCTAAACTAGAATAGTCATCATGTAAAATTATCTTTAATAATATATATAGAAACACATTCACATACATTTGGTACACTTTTTGCATGAAATAGTTATTATACCTCTCAATGCCGTACTTAAGATAACCCGGTTTCCTCCACCTGACACTGAACATGTAATTGTATTTTCATTGTTAAGCATGTTAAGCAAAGAATCTGCCATTTGGCAACTAGAAGAACAGCAAAAATGCCTGTTCTGTCAATACTTCCTGCCAAAATCCCAAAGCTTTAGGAGAATCTTAAAGTGGAGGAAAAGAAGCAGCTGCCTGGAATTGTGTATTTCTGGCCACCTGGATCCCCTGCCCAGTGATGGTCCTGTGTGTTGATGTGTTTAGTTCTCGCAGCAATACCTGTGTAGCTCCTGTTCCTCCTCTGCTTGGTGAGCAAACCAAATGTGCATAGTATTAAGAATCCACAACCATCACAGTTATGCTACTACTTATGGCATGCTTAATCCCTAATGATGCACACTGTGGGATTTTTGTTGGAGCCACTAAGGCACTGTGACAAGCAGAAGATTATAAATAAGTAGAAGCCACTGAGACATTCCCAAAGCGGCTGAAGGAGCTGCGGCAGCAGTGTGCACATAAGTGCTATATGAAAGTGGCCAGTGAGAGAAAGGAGATGCTCAGAATGCAGGCCTGTGTCTGAGCTAGATACCCATAGTTACCACCCCCAAGCCAGGAGCCAGAAGGTGGAGCAGGCTTTCCCGGGAGCCTCATCACCTATGCCATCAGTTCCTAGCCTCCAGTGAGCATTGTCTTGCTTGCCACAAATAGCAGCAATGGTAAAAGCAGACAAGCTAGCATTATACATAAGTCACCCAGGTTTAGGGGAGTAAAAACCCTTTAACCAGCACATTTTCATTGGAAGTAACTAAGACTGGAGAACAAATAGGCCAAGCAGGTCAAGTCCTTTTATGGGGATGGCAAAGAATTCTCGGTAAGATATATATTAGCACCAGGAACTCATGGTATCTCTTACCCCAGTGTCTGCAGGAGTGAAGCCAGTCTTTCAGCACATCTCAAAGGCCTTGAGTATTCATTTAGCTCAAGTTCCTCAGGACTTAGATAGTGGTGGAGTGTTTCCTCCAAGAGGTCACCATGAGTCTGGGTCTCTCTATATAGCCAAGATTACGCTTTCCTTCTTTCCCCCAAACTGGCATCAGTGGCTATTTCCATCGGAAGATGCAAGGAAAAGAACATTGCTAATGACTATGTTCATCATCCTTAGTATTTTAGAACTAGTCTCATTAATCCCTGCATCTATAAAAAAACAACACTGAAACCCAAAGTGTTTATTTTGAATTTTCTGTTTTCTTTTCCTCTTTTCCAATCTGCCAATAAGCAGTTACAATTTTGGGATTTTATCTCTTAATGGAAAAAAAAAAGCAAATGATTTTGATTATTTTTCTCCATTTGATTCCCTCCTTTAAAAAAAAAAAAAAAGCAAGGCAGAGAGAGGTAAACACAGTAGTTAATGCTATTCCAATTCCCGGCCTGGGTTCTGCTCTAAGGAAGCATGCAGTCCCATCAATCAGAAAATGGGAACAGATAGTGACACCCCAAAGGCATGTTTTGAAATTCAACTAATATCAATTATAGGTGATAAACATCTTCCCTGGTGATATATGCTACTGGTTTTCATCAATTATTTCAGGCAAGTGTGTGAGAGCACAATTAAATTTAATTGAATGCTGCAAAACGCACATTTGGTTTCTCTGGATGGAAGCTACCAGTGTGAAAACTAATGGTAAGGTTGTGGCCTTGCCTTGTCTCTGAGCAAATTATTCCTGTCCGACAGGGCAGGCTTGACTCTTAGGAGCAGTACTGCATTACTGTAGGAGGTAGGGGGAGCATTGCAGGTGACAGAGAGATCTCGTTCATCCAGCAAAAGCAGAAAAATGCTAGGGGAAAATTGACAGGGTAGTCGGAGTCTTAAAACCATAGTTTGTATAGAAAGTTAAAGAATCAAAGGTTAGGGCTGACCAAATAGCTCAGGGAATTAAAGCACCTGCAAGCAGGCGCAACGACTGAGGGTTTGATCCCTGGGCACAGCCCCACCCCCGGGGCCCACTGAGATGGCTATTGAGAGTGGGTGTTGTGGTTCGTGCCTGTAATCCCAGTACTTGGGAGACTGTAAACAGGAGAATCACTATGAGTCCAACCTAGTAGTGAGACCCTGAACACCCTGTAGACCCTTTCCTAAAATACAAAAAAGAAAAAAATATCAAAGGTTAGCTGATGAAAGAGCAAAGTTATAAATTTTAGAGCTGAGAGAAAACTCTCAAGCATCATCATTCAACTCGTTTCATTGTGCAGGTGAAATTATAAGGACTTAAATAATAAAAGTCACAGAGTTAATCTGCGGCAAGGCACAGACGAGAACACAAGCCTTCTGATTCCCAAGCCCCTGTGCTCTTGTCACGAGGCCATCTGACAGTCCGTCTCCTTCCTGCTCTACGAAGCGATGCTTCTTAAGAAACATAAAGAGCACAAGAGCCTCAAGTGCTGAGCACAGAGCCTGGATAACCGAGGCAACCACAAAGTGTTTACTCCTGTTCCCAGCAGTGTGCCTTCTCCCATGCTGACCATGAACCAGAAGCCTGGAGTTGATAGTCATTTTAAAATAAATAGCCACACATATCTTCTCAGAAGACTGACTGAGGACACATGAAAATAATGATAAATTCTTATATTACCAAAACATAAAAGGAACATGAAGGAGGGGAAAACCTTTCTAATGAATGAACAGTCATCCAACAGTATAAAAGCCTGTGCTGAGAACTGAATTTCTCATCAAGGGCCATATTCAGGGGAGCCAGGTGGCAATCAATGCAAGATTCCCTCCAGAATTTCTTAATAAATGGGAGCCAGGATTAGATTACCGGTAAGAGTCTGCTTTTAACCTGCTGGAAAGAAGAAGGAGGAAAGTTGTGCGTCCAGTGTTTAGGAAGATACATCTGACAATAGGGCTGGTGGTGCTAGCAGGACGCTAGCTAGAAACTGTAATGTTTTGAACCATGAATGTAAAATCATAGAAAGATAAGTTCTGGGTCAGCCAGGAATGATTCAGAGTTTCATCTTCATTCTTTTCAACTCTTTTCACAAAATTGTTTACACACTGAGTCATGAACTCCTGAGAATTCTGGTCTTAGCCAAGCTCTTTTAAATGTCTCATAATTGGTGTTTCTGCCTATCCCAGTGGCCGCGCAGATGGAGGTGCCGAAAACAGGATAAAAAGCAAGCCAGAAACAGGCTGTATTCTGCTAAGAAGCGCACTCAGTTTTTCATTAGCATTTCTTCTCTCCGTAGGTTATGTGGACATTGGTCTCATTCCCAAAGGAGCAAGGGACATACGGGTAACGGAAGTCAAAGGTGCTGGAAACTTCCTGGCCATCAGGAGTGAAGACCCAGAAAAATACTATCTCAATGGAGGATTTATTATCCAGTGGAATGGGAACTATAAGCTGGCTGGGACTGTCTTTCAGTATGACAGGAAAGGGGACCTGGAGAAACTGGTGGCCCCTGGCCCCACCAATGAGTCCGTGTGGCTCCAGGTAATGTGTTTTCTTTTGTAAAGCATTTACCAAGGGACATTAAATAAGATTCATTAAAACTTCTTTTAGATAAGAACAGGGAAGGGAATGAAATATTTGTGCTTTTCATCTTCTTCATCCTTTCTTGCCTAGAAATTGCTGAAATTCCCATAATAAATTATGTATATCTAAAATGTACTAATAAAAAAATTTAAATTTTATCCCTAGCATGCTGTGCCAGTCTCACCCCTCGGGCAATTGAGACTGGGCATGGTAGCATATGTCTGTAATCCCAGGGATCGGGAGGCTGAAAACAGGAGGATCATTATGAGTCTGATCTGCATAGTGAGATCCTGTATACCTTGTACTAAATACATTTAAAAAATTAATTAAAGAGACTGAATTTGAAAAAAAAAGTGCCAGGGACTCTAAAACTGCCCATTAAAAGTTTGTGTTGTTTGGGGGTTTATTTGTATAAGGGTAATTATTCTTCAGATATGTGAAGGATGCCACCAGCCTATTGTACGTGTGACATGAGTTTCTAAATAACTTCTCCATACTCATGATGAACTGACATGCTGTTAAATGGTTGGCCTCAAGAAAAGATTTGCCCTTAGGAAGCTCTTAGAAACAGGAGGGGCTGCGATGCAGCATGCGTTCTTCAAAGACACACAAGTCTTGTCTTTTGCATTGAGTACAAATTTATAAAAATATGGAATGATGATGCCATCTAGGCCAGGCAGATCGCAGATGATCCATGGCCCAAGAGACTTAGACCCAGCCACATTTAAAAGTGAGAAAGAGGTCTAATAGAGCCAGAGGCCAGACCAATCACAAAAGTCGGAGTTCAGGGTTGGCAGCTGTGGTCCATGAATGTCAAGAGATCTTCTACCTCTCTTTCCTGCCCACAAGGGCAAGGACTTATCCTTAGGAACCCCGATCTCAAAGAACAATCAAGCAATCACCCTCAAGTTTAGTATGCATCCAGTTTAAATGTATGGTAAGTGCATTGCCTGAGAATGAAGTGAAGGATGACACAAAGTAGCTAAGCCTTATTACTAGGTTTACCACAGAACAATTGTGCAAAAAGGAGCTAATCAGCCTTACTTCCAGGAAAGAGAATCATGAGGCAGCATAATAAACATAATAAATATTTATGAAGTTCTAATTTCATCTCATGTTCTAATCATTTATACGCATGTACTCATGTTGTCCTTGTGACAGCCCAGTGGTTGGTAGTACTATCATCCTTTATACATGGAGCAATTAAGGCACTTACCTATATTCTCAAAGGTGATAAGGATGTCATAGGGACTCAAGGTCAGTTGAAAAGGACATTCCTTGACATTCCCTAAAGTATTGTCCACATGATTAGACCCTCCCATTTATAGGATTCAAAATTCCTGGGGGGAAATTAAGCCAAGAAATAACAGAATGGAGAATGTATAGATATATAGAAAGGTAATGGCAGATACAGAGGTGGACAGCAGATATAAAACATAGATAGATAGATAGATAGATAGATAGATAGATAGATAGATAGATAGATTCATTTAGTGGAATCTCTTCAGTGCATGCTGCTACATTAGATGATGGAAACTTGTATAGCATTTTTATTTTTCATTGTTTTTAAAGGGAATACAGAAGAGTAATATAAAAGAAAAAGTTAGAAATGATACAAAATTTCACTAAATAAAAAAATAGGAGTTGGACAGTGTGTGTTGTATTACATAGTGTGGCTTTCAAATTAGTTGCTCAGATGTATGCATGCAAAATTGGAAAAAGAAAGAAAAAAGTTATAAGAAATTAAAAAGAGAGAAAATGAGATAAAAAGACAAGAAAACAAATAAGAAGTAATGATTAAGCTTCAACTGCTCTTTTGTATAGATCAGCAGCAATGCAGAGAACAGCTGTCCAGCCATCCTGCTTATATACATAGATACACCTCTTTCCCCCACTCCCTCTCCTGTCTTTCTCATCTCAGGAATTCCTTCCTTTTGAGCAAGTTCATTCCCTTTTCATAGTATCTATTGTACCCTTCAGATTTTATTTAGTCTTTCAGGTTCTTTATGTAGCATTTTTACATGACTGAGGTTTGCAGTCTTAAGTCGCGACAGAGTTTAACGTGGCCCCTCTCTTGATGTTTAGCTTCTGTTCCAGGTGACTAATCCTGGTGTCAAGTATGAGTACATCATCCAAAAAGATGGTCTTGACAACAATGTGGAGCAGCTAGTGTATTTCTGGCAGTTTGGCCGCTGGACAGAGTGCAGTGTAACGTGTGGAACAGGTACGAAACAGCTGCTTTCCCTAGAAATCTGTCCCAGCTTGCCCCAGTGGGCCAGAGAGGATCAAAGACCACTGTAGTCTGTGCACAGAGGTCTCCAGAGTCCCACAGGGACAGCCTGCAGGCCACAGGAGGCTGGCTCACAGGAAGAGACACTTGTCCTCGCATCTCTTTGGCTGGCCTGAGGCTGGTGAATTCTGTGTTATTGAAAGGAAGGTTAAGAAATACAGAAGGCTTCAAGGACCTGTGGGGACGAGTTTTCAGAGGCCCAGAGTCAGACCCTGTGGGTACTTGGCAGGAGAGCGGGCCAGTAGCGCCTCCCAGAGTCCCTGGCAATTCCAGCTCTTCTGCCCCATCCAGACCCATTGCCCGGAGCAGCAAAGGCAATTTTAGCAGAAAATGCCTCTGTGAAAATGCTACCCCCGAGGAGCTTTTGTGAGGAAAATGAAGTCCCTGTGAATACAGCTAACAAGTACTTTTTCAGTTTGTGACTCTCTTGTTCTCATGTTTCAGTGAAGGGCAAGTTTAAGTCTAAATCTTGTCCCCAGAAGCCACAGAGTAACAATTAGCATTGCTGACTGGACAGAGTCCTGCACACACAGAACAGCCTTCCCACTCCTCTCTCTCAAGACAGGGC